ATGACACGCGGCGTTCGCGGCTCTCTGATTATTACTCGGCTAGCTTCTCCCTTTTTCATAAGCAGTCCATCCCAAGTGGTCCTGGGGAAAATCCTGCGGCTTTAAATCCTCTCGCGGGTTTTTATGGCCGTCACTGCTGTCGATCTCGCCGCCTTCATAGACAACACGCCCGCGGGGTTGCTCCTGCGTCCTAAACTAGCGATACTATCGGGGGCTGCCGGGGCCGATGCTGATATTCGACGCGGACTCCACCGCCTCGACGGGATCAGCTGCTTCGTCCTTTGCTTAACAGTTGTGGTTTCGGGTTATTGATGCAGGACTCCTGTTATTGATACACCTGCTGCAGGACTCCTGCGTTTTTGATACTCCTGCAGCAGGAGTATCAAAAACTAGGAGTCTATAGCAAATATGACAGATTTTGTATAATAAAAATATATTGGCCTAAAAACGTTTTTACACAAGGCTGTGAACTTGTCGATCCGATCCGATTGAATTCGATCGGAACGAAAGTGATCGATAGATCAGCCAATCGGATCACAATCGATCATGATCGGATTTGATCGAATCGATCGATCGGATTTTATTTTCGCAACCCATCCCTACCCTCCAACTTTGAAGCTAAGCGTGTACTGCAATTTTTTCAGAATATCTGCAAAGTAAAATATTTAAAAATGCAGAAATAGCTAAGGGCAAAATCACAACAGATTGTATCCGAGTCATAAAAATGGATCTTGAAATATAAAAATGCAATCAAGTGGCACTGATCGTGGATGTAGAACATCACAATATCCCGTCAAAATTGCATTTCCGAACATTCTACTCGGAGTTGTACTTACTTTTTATGAAAGGAAACCTGGCCAGCAGAAAACTACACGGCATTCCGCAAGGGAAAGCAACAAGGACGCACACCCAAGGGAGCCCAAGCTCATCGCCCAGCAAGCTTACTGTGAAGACGTCTTCCCTCCTACTGTAAGCCACACGATCGAGACAAGAAGCCAACTGTAACGGGGTACAATCCAGTGTGCCCCATGTTACATAAAAAGTGACCCGTCACTCTTGTGGACACCTGGTACACGGTACCAGGTGCTCTCGGAGCCAGTCAAGGCATGACTACTTAGTTCCACTATACATGTAGGTAACCTCTAGTTTTGCATGGAGCCCAGGCTACTCTTACTTATGTGGTGTTGGAAATCCCACGTGAACTCTAGCTACAGATGTAGTTAGGATGTTCCCACAACAATACGTCTACTAGGATAGTAAACGATCGTTCGGGCGGACCTGAAGACCCCAGTTCTGCCCTTGCACCGGGACAAACTGGACCTTGTAAGCTACTTATATAGGCCAACCCAGTAAAATAAGAACACGCTACTAGCACGAGCAAAGCTAGCAGGTGTTTTGAATCCTCGTGGTCCCAACAGCGGAAGGGTACCAGGCACGGGTAAGCCTTTTACGAGATCACCGAGTGTTCAACACTCGGCTGGAAGAAATAAAAGGGAGGCAATTCAAGCACTCCCAGTCGTGCAAATAGGCAACAATAAGCCGTCACGTAAAACCTCCCGATAATAATCGGCCAATACACAAAGTCTCTTGGCCTTGCCGGATGAACCCTCGCTACAGAGCTTCGAGTTCACCGACAGGCATAACACACTCAAACAAGCTTGACCTGACGCTTACCTTGAAGCCGGACGTCGCTCTGTGTGCTTGAGTGGAAATTCTGCTCTGTATTTAAGCTTACCCTTTCGGGTCTATTCCTAATAAGAAGTCCTAATCAAGTATACAAATATCAAATGAACAATGATCCGTTATGGATCTTCTTGCATGCCAAGCGTCGTCTGCACTGTCGCATGAGCATCTTTAACGGTCCGCGCCCTGTCCCAGACGGTGAACGTGTCTTCCAAAGGTCGCTGAGTATTCCGCGAACTCATCCCAACCGCCGCTGAGGGTTTGTACCGTAGATGGTCCGCTGAATGCTAATCCGGCCAGTCCATTATTAATATTAAGGACAGCCTGGATTCAGTGACATAGGGCCGTATCCGATACTTGTTGAAAACTCGGAGGTGACGCCGTCGAGTCCCTGGCACCTTGGCGTCTCCGTACATCACCCGACCGAGGGTTCGTCGCTTGAACAACTTGGGCGGTGTCACGTCTTGTCGACGGGTGATAATCCGCAACCACGGAGAAATCACTACACCACATTGCCAACGAACAACCGTTCTTTCTGAACAAGGGCACGTTCGTAGATGCCCCTAGAAGTGTGGCCGCCCACAAGGCCACGAGGAGCTACGAGAATCTCTAAGAAGGGGTCAGCCCCAGAGCTCTCTTCGGGAGGCCAATACCCACTTGAGTTAATGGCAGCTCCCTGGCGGACAAGTGCCACCACCGAACCCCCACGCACACGCTGGGCAGCTTGGAACTCCTCCTGCTGCTGGTCGAGGTCATTCGAGACCTCCCGGGGCTCAGCAATAGCTCCCTCCTCCTCCTCTTCTTCCTCTTTCTCCTCCTCTTCATCCGACGAGTCGAAGATACTCTGATAGGAGTGTTGAGTCTCCTTCTCCTCGCGGAGTGAAGACTTAGAGGCTGTACGCTTTTTTGAGGGCTTGGCGCCTTCGGCTTTAGAGGCCTTAGCACGCGCAAGACCCTCGGCAAGCGAGAGACGTTTGCGAGGATTCTCTTCCTCATCGCCGCCGGCTTTGGGAGCGCCCTTAGCCTTGACGGCCGGACTCTCAGAGCGCACAGACGTCCTGGGACTGTGATCACCTTGATCACTAGCGAGCGACTGCACACTGTCATTCTTGCTCACTGGGCACTGGGCTGTGCCCTCCCACAGAGCCCGCAGGAGCATCGTGCGTGTTCTCGGACTCGGCATCGTCCTCACTGCCAGAGTTGAACTCACGTTCCACGAACCGAGGGCTCGGACGATTGTCTGAGGCCGAGGGCGACGGACTGCGGCGCTTGCTTGCTCGCTTGCCCACAGCCGCGTCACCCAAGGAACCGATCGCCTCGGAGGCCACCTGAGTAGCCTCCTTAAGTGCCGAGCCTTTGCCGTGAGGCTTAGTGCTCTTGTCTTGCGCCTTACCGGCCGCAGCCTTGGAGCGTGTCTTAGCACCGCTCTTAGCAGTGCCACGAGGCATGGTAACGGTCGAGTTGGAGACCTAGATGAAGAGCACACAGGTTGCTGCTCGAGGCTCTAACTGTGAAGTGAGCCTCCGCCGCGCTCGCGCAGCCAAGTCGATGGTTTTCGACTTTGAGAATGAGAGTTTGTGACGAGCACCTCTTCATTCTGATTGGTCGGTAAACCGAACCTAAGTGGGGGAGGATGTAACGGGGTACGTAGTCCTAGGTGTACTCTGGTTACATGAAGTGTGACACTTCACACTCAGGTGTATGACACGTCATACTCCGGAATATATTTGGTACAAGGTACCAAGGTCGTTCAAAGCCAACCATTGGTCAAACGACATTGCATTTCTATAGGTAACTTATAGTTTGTATTAAACCCAAACCTAACCTACCTATAAATATACTCAGTTTACAATCTACCTTATTTAGGTCACTTCGCTCTCTTTAAATAAAGAGGGGACCTGAGAACTGCCGTCCACTGAGAGTTTGTATACTCTCGAAAAATAACTTCCTCTAGCGCAAGGTGCTGTGTGACCCCGTCACAGCGTGACTACGAATACTAAAAAAGACTTCTGGTTTCTGAGACTGTGTCGTCCTGGTTTCATACTCCCCCGAAACTTGAAGTCTTCCTTAGCTTGTTTGAGCGTCATCTGGGTCGGATTGTTGTTCTGGTTCTTCATCTGTATCTCCATCGATAAGGGCCTGATCGGGGAACGATCGTTTCGGTTTTGACAGTTTCAGATGGACCTAGCCCTAGTCTGAGCCGATCCAGTCTGGTCGGCTGGCTCTCGGTTTTGACTGTGTAGCACACTATACACTCTGGTACCATTCAAGAAAATGGTCAAATAGCTCACAGCGGCGATCGCGTCTCTTCATTACGGGCCTAGGTCAATCCTGCAGGATGACGCAGTACGTCACTCAGTCGGCGCAGGGTTTGTCGGAGAGCTCGACTGTCCCCGTCACGACGGACGACACCAGAGCGAGGAATATGACCACCATGTACGACTGCCTACTGCTATCCACAGAAGCCGATTGTTTCTCCCTCCCTGACAGTGTCGCATCGTCTGGTGTTGACAGAGCTGCCGCTAGCGCACAGGAGGGTGCACAGTCTGCTATTTTGCAAGGTGGAGGAGAAGCTACATACTCAAGTTCACCAGCACCACAAGGTCCTACAAGCAAAACTCTAACATCTTGGAGCGATGAGGACGTGGAAGCGTTCTTCGCCTTCGCTATAAGGAATTAGCAAAGCACTTCAAGAAAACGACGAATACAAAACGCATTAAATATGCGTGGGCAGTTCTCTCCTCTACTCTATTTGCTCAACGGGGCAAAGTGTTCACAGACCAGCAGTGTCAAACCAAGGTATATTGTGATCGAATGCAAAACCAAAATTAAGTTGGTATTTTTAATTAGCCGGTGATGCCTTGCCTCGTATAGATGAAAAACATGAAGGCAAAGTGGGCTTCTGCGCGTGATGACGAGGGTCGTACTGGTAATTGTGACCCTATCAGACGTCCTAGGCATTACTCAATCGTGAAGGACTATTGGCGAGATGGAACGGGCATGAATTATCACCCGCATCTAAGTACGGAGGCCATGGATACTATTGCTGCCGCAGGTGACGCAGCGAGCGTTACAAGTGAGACGTCCGCTTCACCGTCCCCCGATATATCGGGCCGGCGAATCATTTCTGATCCAAGCAGCGAATGTTCTGCCAAGCGTGTGAAGCGTATTCAAGGTGAGTGTGTTGAAGATGGTTTAGGAGCTGTCGCCAAGGGATTTAGTAATGGCCTGGCGGCACTAGGGAAAGGCCTTGTTGACGTGCAAAATGAAGATACTCACCGCCTAGCTACGGCTGTCCAGAAGCAAACTGGACATTTCCAGATTCAGAGCGAGCGAGCGCACGCTCAAACCCTGCAGCTGCTAAAGCAAATTGAAACCCAGAGCAAGCAGCTTCGTGAACAGAACCAAAACATGAGAAAGCTGCTAAATTGGATTCGTCACAGAAACTAGCTTAGCTAATTTTCTAAAGTGAAGCAAATATTTCTGTAAAGGCCGGAATAGAATCTCGTTTTCGTGAGCCCGCATCTCTCAAAAATGTGCAGACGAATCAATGCAGTTATAACATGTCGTAACATCGTCGCAGTTTCCACCGCATTCCCATTCCTCTTCCTCATCTTCAAAAGACGTATTGTCCTTAATATCCATAAGCATTTTGTGCAAACGATAGTCGCCGCTACAATATCCACGGCTTTCTTAGCACTTTTAGTGTTGAGACAACAACTCACAATACGAAAACGACCTTTCTAAAGGCAAAAATTGCATTCAACTGCCATTCGTGATTGCCAATGCAGATAGTTGTACCGGAGCTGCTTGCGCGTCAGACGCTCGCCGGGATTTTCCACAAAAGGCGTCATAATTGCAGGACAGATTGATTAGCCTGCGTCTCCAAGAAAATGAGGTCCAGTAACAAGTAGCTGTCAATTCTAGAGCTCAATGCAGATGCGCGCCATGATTTTTGGTCGACCATGAACCAGGACGAATCTCTGCGCTCACAAATTGCCTTTTATCGTTGACAACAGTTTGTACGTTAAGAGCTGGATGCATCTTCCGACAATAATATCCTTCGAGGCCGTCCGGCCTGTTAATCTCCTCCAACGATCCATCGATAGCACCCACTACGCCGAGAATCCCGCCTTTAGCTTCAAGTGCAGCTTGTATACGCTCCCATTTTGGTCCGGCGAGGGGAATGCACAATTTTGCGTAGACATTTCCTTACAACAGCGAGAAAAAAACCAAATACTTCGACAGCCCAGGACTTAGATACTGCAAATGCTGCTGTGGTTTCTTTATAACCACCCTGCGATCAAGGAAAAAGAGTAGACAGGCAAATTTTTCTTCTAATGTGTGCTCTTTAACGAAGCGGTCGAGTTCGAAATCGCGGAGCTCACGGCGGAGGGCCTCACATAGCCGAAGAAACGTAGCTTGACCACATTTTAAGTACGCGAAACCACTCATCGTAGCGTGGATCTTTAAGCATCGCTGTAAATTCGAGAGGTGTCAACGTAAAGATATTTGCCTTTTACTTGGACAAAATACAGATGGCAGCGTGTACGGTTGTTGCGAGGGCTCCCGTGGTCGCAGAGACTGCGGTCACGGCAGCAGCAATGTGTCGGCTGTGGCCCATCCACGATGTCACTGATTTGAGTTAGAGTCAGTGAAACGCTCGTTTTCAAAGTGAAAGTGGTGATTAACTCGTTTCACTTTGGGCGATTTGGAGACGACAAGCTGAGACGATCAGGCCTCCAACTGACCAATCAAATGCGAGGAAAAAAATCGTCAAATCGTCAAAGATGATCAAAAACCGAAGCGATTGGTCCCCGACCAGGCCAAGATGGATTATATCTTCTTTGTCGATCTAGCACTTATGCCCCCTATCCCAATCAGTGGTTTCACAGTCACCGCTCCTGTGGATGATCTTATGTCACAAGGTTGTGTCTTTCTGTTAGATTAAAAATATTTCTAAAGTTATACGTTAGTGGACCGTTTTACCGAATGGCCAGTGTTTTCGTAGACTTTTTTGTTTATCACTCTCACAAAGTGGGTGGTGCCTCTTAAAATCGAAATGGCATTTGTAAGGTAAGATCATTTAATTAAGGGCGCTGTAGTCAGTATCAAAAGAAAATGGTCACTATTACTTCAGTAGTATTCTTCGTCGTTGCATTTGAGAAGGCGTCAGACAAAAAGAAGCTAGCGAGTCTCTCTACGAATCGCGATTTGAGTGCGCCAATATTTATGCTTCGAAATATCTAGTACCCGATAAACTATGGCACCCAAAGCAATTATCTTCATTTTCGGACACTCAAAATAGATTTAAGGCCCTGGTATCTCCGTCGGGGTCTGGGTCTGGGATTAAACAAGTGAAAATCCTAGACTCGTGCTAGATCTAGGCTTTTTGTTGGCAAATTGTTTACCCAGTCAAAATCGTCATCGCGGAACTATTGGTCGGCTACACCAGTCAGTCGGAGAAATAGATCGCGTCGTCGTTAGCACAGAGACGACAGGCTTAACGAGCTTTCACCTGTCTCCAACTACTCTAGCGCAGCAGCTACAGTCTCCTCCTCGTGGCGCGGCAGACTAAGTCGCTTCAGTGGGGTCCCCGACATAGACTGTGGTAGCAGTACCAATATTAAAGTCAAAGCTTCGAAGAGTGAGCCGGAACTTTGACGACGTCCTCGACGGAGACAAATTTTACAGTGCGGTGAGTTCTTGTATGTTGATGTCTATCAATTTACTAACAATTATTCAGAGATCTGATAAAATGTGGTTTGTATAGGTATGTTACTGATATGGAAAACCTTAGCAGTGCTCTGTGTATCGCATCACTCATGCTCTGTTTGCTACCTTCCCGTGGCTGAGCGCTCCATTTCTAGAGTTGCCTGAAAATGTTTTTAAATGACGGGCAAGAAATATTAATATCAGTCATTTAATAAAATACGAAGCATTTCTTTATACCACACCTGATGTGCTGTTCTACACCTAGGTGTATTTCACAGTGTCCTTATGACAGATAATACCAGGTATGCTGAAACCGTGTTCTTTTCGAAGCAGCCCAGGGAAAACTGTGATTTGAGAACTTGCCTTGGAGAGTATTACATCTCTATGTTTCCTTAAAATATTGACGTCCTTTTAACGTTCGCCAGATCCATTACCTACCAATAGATGTCATTTTCTCTCTGCTGAAGTGATATCGCTGCTATGCCATCAGCATCACGTCCTTGTATGAACGAACTCTGACCCGATAACTTGTACCCATGCTGCTAGAGAGTTAGGCCCCGCAAGATGAGGGGGGGGTCCATCCAAATGGAGTGGTGTGGCATGATGACATGCGTAGCAAACGCACACTTGGCCTTCCGGAAGCGTTGGTTGCTATGGGATCTACTCTAGCCACCGCCCTGGCTGCGCCAGATCATTCTCAGCGAAAGCGGTCTTGCGTAGGACCCGAAGCCAGACCTTCGTCCGCATAGAAAACCGTCGAGTTGGCTTGGATGGCCAGCGACGCTTGTCGCTCGCGCACACGGCAGCCACAGCAAATATTACTGCCATTGTCACTGCTACCTTCTTTGATGCGCCCTTCATCGCTTTTTTTTAATGATCAAGAGAGGGTCATTAAATTAAAGTGATATTGAGTAAAAAAACCACTTTTGTTGTCCAATCAAATCTCTCCATTCACATTAATTTGAGCACTTTTTTTTACCTCGACCCTCTCCTTACAGTGCTGCTACAAACTATAGACGCACTCAAGTTTCGCTTGTTAGATGAGCAAAACGCAAAGCGAGCGAGCGCCGTTTGGCCCTAAAGCCTTCAATACTAAGCCAAACTGATACCAACAAAGCGTTTCTCGATAGTGTCGGTATTGCAAGCAGGACCGAAAAAAATACGTTATGGGGGTGTTCTAAACTATAGACGCACTTTTTTAAACCCGCTACTTGTCGGTGGGGCCACCGTTTTTCAGCACAACCTGGGCCATACGTGTTGGCATATTGTCCACCAAGTCACGTAGGTAGCTTTGTTGAATTTCCTGCCAGCATCGGACGATTTGAGCCTTCAATTCCGCCTTGGAGTCGAACTGGCGCCCGTCTCGATACACAGACCACGCCAATTGCCCCCATACGCTCTCAATAGGGTTCAAATCGGGGCTCTTGGCAGGCCACTTGAGTTTCTTGATACCCAAAGCTTCAATATGGGCTTTAGTAAACCTCGATTAATGGATTGAAGCGTTATCCTGTTGAAAAACAGGCTTACGGATACCATGGTTTTGACGCAGGTTTTCGATAAACGGAACCAAGTTGTTGTCAAGCGTGCGTGTGTAGCACACATAGTCTTGTCTCCCCTCCAGAAACGCGATGTCCGTTTTGCCGTGCGCGATCATGCCAGCCCAAACCACCACACTCCCTCCCCCACTCACCCGCTTGGAGTACAGCTCGGTTTCAGCCCTGACGTCGTGCCAGTAGTACTGGTAGCCGTCAGGGCCATCCAAATTAAACTTCTTTTCATCACTAAAGATGACACGCTCCCACATGCGCGTCTTGCTCAAATATTTTGCAGCAAATGCTGCACGTGCGACCTTGTGGTGAGGCTTGATGGCCGGAGAGGGTTTCCTCTTGATCCACTTTGCGGCACGAGACGAGCTCAACAGCCTGCGCACCGTACTTGGCTTGAGAACGCTGTCGAGCGCCTCGGCAATCCGTTTGGACGTGAATCGTTTGACTGTAGCAAGCCGAAAGACCCGTCTAGCGATCCGTTGGGTGACTTTTGCCGGCCTGCCGATTTTCTTTGAGGGTAACGCCTTCTTTGGGGGCCTCATGATGCTGCGAACAGCATGGTCACTGCGCCCGATGGACCTCGCGATGTAGCGGTAGCTCCTTCCTTCCAAATGGAGCGCCTTGACCTTGCCGATCTCTTCGGGGGTTAGTTTGGTTCCCCGAGGCATCGTTTTGAGCTGTGTCGGTCTCCCAATTGCGCCCTTCGCCGTCGAATTTCGCGCGCTTTTCGTGGGACCTAATTTTAGGGCGTACAGGAAGCAAAAAAACATTTTTAAAAAAGTGCGTCTATAGTTTAGAACACCCCCCTAACGTATTTTTTTCGGTCCTGCTTGCAATACCAACACTATCGAGAAACGCTCTGTTGATATCAGTTTGGCTTAGTATTGAAGGCTTTAGGGCCAAACGGCGCTCGCTGGCTTTGCGTTTTGCTCATCTAACAAGCGAAACTTGAGTGCGTCTATAGTTTGTAGCAGCACTGTATAGACGTGCCGTAAAGGGTTAGATCCGCTGAAACGCAAGTCTTATGTCGTTGACAAGATGCTAAGGAGTCGATGCCTTCTCCCAATGATGTTTACTCCTCCACGAGCGCCATACGATATGCTGCATAAAATGACTGGGCAACCGACCGATAACATATCAAGCATTAATTTTGGTTTGATTCGCGACAATCTGTAAGCGACCAAGCAA